AGAATTTCCTCACCTGGCACGTGCCATCTGGCTCACCCAAGATATCCTGGGAGGTGTTAAATGAAAACACGGGTCACATTGGTCATTAATAGCGGCGTGAGGTATTGGCACAGATACTCGCTGAGACGTTTCCGATGGCTGCTGAAAGTCTGTCCCAACCGGTAGCCAGGCAGAGCTCACAAACAAGTTTCTGCCAGCCGATGCCTGCAAACTCACCTCTCTCTGCAGTCAGCCAACACAATGAGTGCTCCTTTTACATCCAAAGGCCACAGGGAGAGGTGGCACTGGAGAATGGACCAGGGGCCGACAATGAACTTTGGGGGATATTAGAGGATGCCACCCCCTTACCATGCACCTAGGAAATAATTGAGCAGTGAGATTAGTCATGAAAAAACAGGATCATCCTGAAACTTGGGCAAAAGCCCTTTGGGGCAAGGGAAACGTGATGGGTCGGTTTCGTTTAGTCCCTAGACAGCACGTTACGATTTTGTTTACTATATAGCTGGGCAGATCCATTAGCTGTACTCACTGGCTCTTGGATCTCACACAACTGGCTGTTTTCACTATCAACATCCCTCAGTGTCGCGGTACGGAGTTGAGTGCTGGAGCTGAATCAGACAAGCGTGTGTGTGTGCCATCCCCAGACGAAGACAGCGGGCCTGGGATTGCTGTAAGCGGTTAAGGGCTGAATGCTGCAGGGGAACATTGCAACGGGCATGGGGGGTTGAGTGCCCCCCCGATTGGCCTGCCAGGGGTGAGGAGGGAGAGGGGCTCTGTCCTTCTCTCCCTGCACCTCTCCCCTGGCACGTTCGGCCGCGCTCTCTGGCAGCCCGACGGGGAACGGGACGGAGCCGCTTCTGCCTGAGAGAGCCTGGCTGGGAGGCAGCTGTGGCCCGTTCCCTGCCCTGGCTGGGCTCCTGGGGACAGGGTGGTTTTGGCCATGTGGCTCTGAGGTTAAACCTCTTTGTGCATCAGTGGGGATACCAGACAGCCAGCTAAGCTTGTCGCGTGTTTGGAGGTTCACAAGCCTTTAGCCCTCCCACTAGCAGCTTTCCCTCAGGGCCGGCGCCTCAGCGGCGTTCAGGCCCCTAACTCTCATTGGGTTCAGTGGGAGAGAGGGGCCCAAAACTCTTTAGGCTCTGGACCTAAGTATTTACAGTTACGGGTGAGTCACTAACGAGAGAGCCAACTGAGGCTGAGAGAGAGGAAATGACTAACTAAATGGAACCCAGGCATCCTGGCTCCCAGCCCCGCCCCTGCTCTAACCCACTAGACCCCACTCCCCTCCCAGAGCCAGGAATAGAAACTAGGTGTCCCAGCTCCCAGCCCCCCCTGCTCTAACCCACTACACCCTACTCCCCTCCCCGAGCAAGGGAACCCAGGAGTCCTGCCTCTCTCTGACCTCCCCAACCGCTTGCTTGGCAAATCAAACTCTCGGAGAAGAATTCCTCCATAAAAGGCAACTCTTTGCTGCACGCACAGAATCCCGTCCCTGGGGGCCGGCTCATGCCAGGATAATGACAGCTTCCCTCTTCCAGGCTGTTTTTCCTGGGAGTTCCCCTCAGCCTGGCTGCAGGAAGATGGGCAGCCGCGCCTGGCTTGTTCCCATTATCCCAGCCTTGGGCCTGTACCAGCAGGAGCTGAGATGAGAGGGGCTGGGACGAAGCCAGGTCTGGGGCAGGGCTCCAGCTCCTTCCAGCTAGCGTTGGAGTCCTCTCCGGGTCCCAGGTGCGGAACAACGATCCAGGAGCCTCTGCTGCTCCGGGAGGAAAGCAGCCGCTCCTTCGCACTCCCCCCAGCACCCAAGCCGCTGACCCAGCCCCAAGAAGCTGGCGTACGGGGCAGGCACTAGAGGGCGACAAAGCCAACGTGGTGGAGAATGACCCCTGCCGCAGTGCATTGTGGGAGCCTGCCTCAGTTATCCCCATCCGTCCCATGGCTGGACACAACGGCTCTCAGGGCCAGTGGGCACCTGGGAGCGCCTGACAGCTCCAGTCCCGGCCCAGCATCTCCCTCCGCAACTTACCACTTCCCAAACAAGGAGTCAGTTCCCGGGAGCACAGTCTCCCCAGGTGAGGCCCAGCAGGCCTTGCTCGGCTGCCCACCGGCCATACAGAGGGGACCGCCAAGGGGATGGAGCGGGGGCACCTGGGCCCGTGCTGCCCTGGTCTTTCTGGGATCGCCAGTGGGTCGGGTCTGGCCGTCCCTGTGCACCGGCTGCCGGCTCAGATTTCAGCATCAGGCTCTGATACTCAGCCCGCTCTGCATTAACCCACTAGACCCCACTCCCCTCCTGGAGCTGAGGATAGAACCCAGGAGTCCTGCCTCCCAGTCCCCCCTCTCACCCACTAGAGCCCACCCCCCTCCCCAGTAGAATCCAGGAGTCCTGACTCCCAGCTTCCTACCCAGCCATTGATAAAGAGCTGACGGAAACACTCCCGGTCAGCACTGCCCCTAACCCCCCCTCTGCCTGGAGAGGGCGCTGTTCTGCTTCAGGCTGTAGTTATTTAATGAAGAAAAACCGCAGCCCTTAGTGCCTGTGACAAAAGTCCCACAGCTGCTGCTCACGTGTCAGGGCCTCGGCCCACGGCATCTGTCTCTCTGAAGAGTCCTCGCGGTTGCAGAGAGGCTGTGTGAGCCAGCTGCTGTGCCCCACCCCAGAGGCAGCTGCCTTTCAGGGCAGGGTGAGCAATTCCTCTGGCATACTGCTGCCTGGTTGTCACCCAGCGGCCATCCCCCACCCCAGAGGTGGCTGCATTTCCGCATTGCCCATCGACCAGTGCACAGAGTTGCCATTACAGAGCGGCTGTGCTCCACGCCAGAGGTGGCTGCATTTCCACTGCAGATGTATGATCTGCTGGAGGCCTTGGGATTGAGAATAGAGGACTATTAGCAGCGACATCCTGACTTTCGGGGACACCGTGTCTAACCATGAGAGCTAGCAGAAAGTTCAGGTAGAGGCAGCCCCGAACACAGCTGCTCATCAGGGAAAGAAGAGATACAGAGATGGGAGGGTTAAGTGAGGCATTTACGAGTTCAAAAAGGGCTAAATGAAAACATGCTGCTCTTACTCCGAGACGCACTCCCCTCCCAGAACTGGCTAAAGAACCCAGGAGTTCTAGATCCCAACTTCCATGCTCTAACCATAAGACTTCACTCCCGGCTCTGGGAGAGTACACCCAGAGTCACTGCACACGTGACAGCAGCCTCTAAGGAAAGGAAATACCACCACATACGAGACACAGTGGAGCTGTGGAACTCATTGCTGCAGGACTATTTCACTGGGACGGATATTTATTGAAGGTAAACCACAGAGCGTGGGTACGTGGAAATCAAGCGTCAAGTTCATGCCCGTAATGAGGTATACAGAAAGCTTTCGAGGTGAGGGGTTTAGTTGGGGAGGGATGGGGGACCGGTGATAATTTTTCTTATTAATTTAGAAAATAACAGGATGTCCACATCTTGTCTTCCCGGTTTTGCTGGAGGTTACCTCGAAGGAACCAGGAGGCAGATCAGGAGAGGTCGCAAGGGAAGGGGATTTAGGAACAGGGACTCTTTCACGAAGACAGGTTTTCTCCCAGCTGTTTTGGGGGTGTTTGAGATAAAGGCGAAGAAAGAGCGTTCAATTGAACACAAATCAGCGGAGCGCGTTTGTCTTCCGGGGTATCCGCAATGCTGTAAGCACACCAGTTCTTTAGTCACCTAGAGAGACTTCCAGGGCAGACGACACCTAGATTTCTAGTGTTAAAAAGAAATCAAGCAGGAAAAAAACAACACCTTTTCCAGGTAAAATCCGACAAGCCTCCTTTATACATCAGGAAGAAGCATGGAAGGAAACAAGGCCACAGCCAAAGATTGTTTGTCCTCTTACCAGAACATTGTAAACGTTTTATGATCAACACCATTTGCAGCTATGAAAGGGAAAACAAGGGTGATTAAAGCTTCTATTTCAGGGCCTTGGCAGAGCTGTGTGTGTGACGGGGGCGGAGGGATAGTAGTAGGTGAGGATGAGGGGCACTGGCAGAGCTGTGGGGAGGGAGGGGAAGCCAAGGGCTGGGCTAGGAAGGGGGTTGCGGGTTGGGAGTGAGGGGCACCGGGAGAGCTAGGGGGAGGGGCTGGGCTGGCAGAGGGCTGCAGGTCAGGAGTGAGGGGCACCGGCAGGGCTGGGGGAGGGAGGGGCTGTGCTGGCAGGGGGCTGTGGGTC